GATGGTCTTAGAGTGGCCATTGCTTCAGGACACTTCGCCGGAGGGTACCGCCATCAAAAGCGCTTGTGTTTTCCTGTATGTACTTTCCTGCTGACTCCCGACCCCTTCGCCATATGATCTCACGAAAGGGCAGTTTGCAGAAGGGTGCTCGAGAGTGCTCGGGACCATACGATGGTAACGTAAGTTAACATTGATTTCCTCCTTCATCTTCCTTCACATCAACACCTAAAGCATGCAGATCCTCGCTACAGAGTTTGGAAGAACTCTTTGGGTTACATCTGGAAAGCTGTGGCGACGTGAGTTGGACACACATGTCCAGGCGCTTGTATTGACATCTTGAAGAAGATGCTTAAGATAACAGCCTCATGTCCTGGGCGTCTATAGATACGAGGCAGTTTAATGCAGTATTAGATTCCTCTACCAAGCTCACCTCAGCTTCTAGTAAAATGGGGCTCCTTATGCCAAGCTCCACGCCCGTCTGAACATTCGAAGATCAGGAAGAAGGCATACACTCTGTCGCAGTTTTGAAGATAGGTGTCGTGTTGAAGAAGATTGAAGGGCTCTCGTACACCATACATATCCAACTTCTCCGAGTCTCTCACGTGGACACTCATTTTCTTCAGGGGCATCTGGGTCTGATCCCAGCATCTGGGGTGAGATACATCAAGTTGGAAGGTCAGTGACCCACTAATGGGACATAATAGTTACCATTATCATACATCCTGCCGGCGCCCTCGTTGCTTACGCATCTGGTGACAACAGTGAACATTCCTCTCCTCTGGTTTAATTTATTCGATTTCTCATGAACCACGACGTGTATTGCAATTGCTTTAAGAACAACAGATAAAAACGACCCACACTGAAATAATTTGCACGTTCAAGGGGGATGAGTAAGTCAGGAAAGCCTTAGATATCTGAGGTTGAATGACAGTAGATGAAAACTACCGTCGTTGGTTAGAAGGGCATCTAGGTAGAATTCAAAGGCATCTAAGCATGTAATGGCTACTAAAAGTACTGTAGAACGAATCAGCCTTTGTGCGGTGCCTTGATGTCAATTTCAAAAACCGTTTGGCGATTCAACGCCTTCGAATTCGTTATATTTCCAAAAGATGGAAAAATGCAGATCCGGGGTGCTTCCTCCATAAACGGAGTTTTAAATTTCAAAGACGGCTCAATTTACAGCCTCAGGTGGGTTACCGTTTTGTTACATACCTCCTGCTTCATTACGTGTTTCAGGCTATTGCACGGCTCAATTCAGATGAACATGAAGAGGCAATCCAGCATGTCCAAGAGCTAGCCCTGATTTCAACCCTCTTGCTTGTCATGTGGAAGTGAGTAACAAACCGTGCACTCGTTCGGGTAGCATTTGAATTGTACCGATCCATAACAGGACGTGAGTAATGAAGTTACAAGGTCTGCTTTCGTGATTGGTTCTCTGACGAGTCTTTTCAGTGATGTCATCTCGTGCTACAGTCCTAAATCGCTCTTCACTTAGCTCTCAAGCAAGACTGCAGGGTGCTGTAGCTTGATACAAAGAGTTCTTGCGAGGTTACATTGACGTTCCCTGTATTTCTTTGCGCTCGTATCGTATTGTGGTTTTCATAACACGAAAACAATTTCTAGAGACCCTGAGGCCGGCCTGATCCGTTGCCACTGATTGCGAATCTCGTCTCCTTCACCACAGTCCAATGTCTCGAAGCCATCATTTGAGGGCTACTGCATTCCCTACATCACATGTTCCTACCACCCGCAATGTCACCTCCAAAGAGAGGTTTGTCGTGAGTAAAATACTGAAGAACCAAGTATAGATGCAGACCGATGGCAGTTTTAGTTGATTCTCCTAACAAGAACCAGGAAAAGGTGGTGAACTAGTAATAGTCACCGATCCGCAACCGTCATGCTGGTATTGCCACTGAACATCATGATGAAGTTCGATGTAGTGGAGCAAAGTAGAGTTCGAACGACTGATTGCTATCGCTTATCTTCAATATAAATTTCAAGGAACACCAGCGAAAACTGCAGTACCGGTACCATGCAAGGAGGAGTTTGGATCTGCGGCAAGAACATTCCATGGAACAGAAGGTCGACATGCCACCGGACCAAATACCATATCTATGGCTGCTCAATGGAGTAGCGCGTGGCTGATGAGGACTGCTTCTGTCTGCCGCATGGTCCTCAAAATGAAAAAGAATCAATAGCCTCGTGTGTTGGGCGTCTGATCAATCCAGGATAAGATCGCCTACTAACGCACACATCTCTACAGTTTCGCCGCACCCACGATCCCTCTACCACGTCTACCCTGACCTCGAGTCAAATGTCTCAGCTCGTTCCAAGCCCCACACCCATTCGAGAGTTTAAAGATCATGGGGCCATCGTGACTGCAGTCTCAGTTTTCTCCAATAGACAAAGTATGGTTACCGGTTCAAAAGACAAGACAGTTCGTCTGTGGGACTTGAAGACAGGTGGAGTGTCGAAGAAAAGGGTGGGGCATTCCAGCGAGGTGTGGGCATTGGCGGTATCACGAGATGGGCAATTGATCGCAAGCGGTGATACCAACGGAGAAGTCATCACCTGGCACGGAGAAACTTTTGTTCAATCTTCCAAATCCAGACCCCACTCTAGCCGAATCTACACATTGGACTTTTCTCCTGATGGTACCATGCTGGCAACTGGTTCAAGCGACTCCACGACAAAGTTGTGGAGCACAAAAACATGGAAGCGACAAGGAAGTCCAATGGACTGTGGTAGCCCCGTTCGTTGCGTTCGATATTCGCCGTCTGGTGAACTTCTTGCAATTGCGACGGAGAGCAGGATCAAAATTTATGATTCAGACACACGAGAATGTGTTGCAAACTTCAAGGGTCACACAAAATATAACATGTCACTCGCGTGGACGTCTGATGGGACACACCTTTTCTCAAGCGGCTCCGATGGTGATCCCACTATACGGGAGTGGGATGCGTCGACCTGGGAGCAGGTCGGTGATTCTTGGACAGGCCATACTCGGGCGATCTACGCCATTGCCATTCACCCTGCTGGTACATTCCTTGCTTCCGCATCTCTTGATAACCATGTGCACCTCTGGTCGCTGTCGGACCGGCGAAGCATCATGGTATTCAACCACTCTCACTCCATGTACTGCGTCACCTTCTCGATGGATGGGAAGCATATCCTCAGCGGAGATAATAATGGGCGGGTCTCAGAGTGGGCGGTGCCCGAAGATATTTTGCCAAAGGATACTATCAAGGAACAGGTGGAATGGGTACTTTGTCTTCGAATTCCTGGTCCTTTCGTCATCTCATCTCATGTCTTTTGATTCAAAGGTTCAATACTCCGATTTAAAGGCATGCTTCCAATCTTGACTCATGTAACATATAAGTCGAGCATGCCCCTACCTTCATGCAGATCCTGGCTATCGACACGATCATTCGTGATGCATGCATCACGGGAGACTTGGCTACCGCCGAACAATTGCTCACGCAAGAGATCGAAGTTGATGCTAACAGCCATACCTCCTATGCCAACCGCTCATTCGTCATGGCGCGACGACTCGACTGGGACCGCGCACTTGATGATGCAAGCAAGGTGAGTACACCGGCACCCCCCATCATGTCCTCCTTAACGTTGATCGTGACATAGTCTGTTAGCATTCAGCCTTCATTGTCAGGCTATATCTCTAAGGGCATCGCCCTCTGCGGGAAACAACAGATCCGAGAAGCGATGACCGAATTCGACCTCGCATTCACGTCCACCGACGGAGATTCACTGACCACGCAATTTCTTTTCTTGATCAAAGTAGGTGAATATGTTACTCGTATTCGATGCTTCATTAGAGGTTTTCAGGCCATCGCATCGTTCAATGCAAATAACCATGAAGAAGCAATGCGCTTCGTCCAAGAGCTAGCTGCCCGTCCCAACGCCGATCCTCTTGCTTCTCGTGTTGTAGAAGTGAGCAACATATACTTGACCAAGCACAGGTTCGTATGCTCACTGATTTTTCTGTGCTTCGCACATCAGGCATATTTGCGAGTCCAGCTGGGAAACATCGCCATGGATAACACCCTCTACAAAGAAGCTGTCGACCACTTTACTGCCGCTGTCAATGCTGGCGCTTTCTTTTCCAAGTCAGACATTCATTCCATGTACGAGGGCTTTGTCGTGGTATGTTGAATATGACTCGGAACAGTCATAATCATCCATGCTCAACCGCGTGCTTGCGCAGCTTTTCGGCTGGGACCTCAAGTCCTTGTGGCAAAATGCGAACCAGCAACGATGCCACGCACTCATTCGGGGAGGTCAATTTGGAGCAGCACTCGAATCATATCGATACATGATGGACATGAGCAATGAGCCCACGAAGGCTATCTTCCTTGGTTGGATCCCTGGTACGTCATAGTCTTTCAGTACTGATGTCACCCGTGCCATGATTCTCTCCCTCATGCTACCCTCAGCTCTCAACGAAGAATGGAGGGAACTCCGCGTTGCCAATGGAAATGCTGCCCTCGCCACGAGTGGCTTCTCGTAAATCTTGAAAAACAGAAATTGAGTAGTTCTCTTTTGTACCTTAACATGATTAATACTCGTGTACACACAAGTTGCCTTTTGTGCTCGTATTGATGTGAATGAGGGGGGCATGGTACAATATGTCAAGGCCAATATCGCCATATGCTTCGTTGAGTTGTCCAAAGATGTGCTTGATTCTTGGTGTGCTATCCGGGTGGATTTGTCTTCAGGTGCTGGTTGAATGCGGACTAACTGTAGGAGCACAACATCTCTGGATCTGCCAGATGATTGCAGTACTGTTGGTACATGCCAATCAAGTCTTTGATATTGTGTCGACTAGGTTCGCAGGCACTCAACTCTGCATGTCAATTTTTGACATCTTGTATTTGCGAGCAGTTGCGCGACGTTATTTACGGGGTATGTATGCTATGATAATGTGATCGTTGACTCGAGGCACAAACGCAAACTGCTCGGAGATCACTGTTAGAAAGCCATGTAGCTACAATATGTCTAGGGTTCTGATGTTCATAATGTCAATCGAAGCCGTGTCTCTGACTTGCGCAATGATATTATGGTCCGACGCGACCCTCTTGTATTCTCCAACGCGTTGCTGCGCTACCAAAAGTGCGCTGAAAGCCTGCCCAAGGTGAACCATCAAACGCAATGACCGCGAGTGAACATCCGGGTCCACTGACAATTCCTCTTCTCCAGGTAAATCGCTGGACAACTCGGACTCGGACTCGGACCAATCCCCTACGCTCTCCCCTTCGTCCGGAAAGGTGAGCTGCTCTGAAAAATCAGGCAGCCCAAGGAGACGACGGTCCCATGGACGGATAAGAAAGAACGTCTGCTGAGTGGGCCTTGCACGAGAGAATTGAATTAGGGCCTCGTCCGTGGTGATCATCAAGTCCCGAATCCCATCTGCTTTCACTCCATACGTAGAATGAGCAGCAAGACCCCGCCTTCGTTTGACTTCCGTGACACGGAATGCGATGCAAGGCAGACGGAGTCTGCAGTTAGCGAAGAGGGGAGCGTTCATGTTCTCGAGCAGGTTATAAAACTTTGAAGCTGAATCCACAGCCACAATGTTTCGCAACGAAGAGACCGCTGTCTGAATGTCATCTTCAGACAATGATGCTGGGGAGCATGGCGGGGTTGCATATGAGATGATGTCGGCTGGAAGGCAACTATTGAACTCGGACGATTGTCCGACCCAATCCAGGGAAGTTATGTCGCCCGATCTAGCCACGATCTCCTGCAGGAGCCTCCCGAGTGCATTTTGCTTCTTCTCACCATAGATTACAGGCAGGTGGACACCGAAGATACCAAACAACGAGTACGCGATGTCTTCCTGCATCGTGGTGACACGTTTTGATGCCCATCGCAGTTTCTCTCGAGCACCTCGCATCCCTGGACGGAAGGAGATCAGGGCTCGTGCATCTATTCCTGTGGCACCCTCCAACTCCTTCATGATTGCTGGGGACTCTTTGTGGTTGGAAGAACGATCGTCAAGATATAACGACCAATCTTTCTGATAAAATCTGACGACTTTCGGAGCGACGAATTCTTGAAAGGTCCATCCTCGCTCGTTCCAAACACTACTCGCCAGTGCACCGGACTGGGACGAAGGAGGGACATCGGATAGGTAGACGACGGTGAGCGCTGAGTGGCGGTACCAGACGAACATGGAATTGACCGATTCTTGAAGCTCGACGTTGTTGCTCTTATCGATGCAGCATGTATCCATCCACGCCCAGCGAAACCCCGCATCACGAGCAATTTTGCAGAACGACTGCAGTTTCGCGGTGCCACCAAGTCCATCCAGCTCGTACACGACTTTGTCCTTGATGTCGTGCAGCAGCGCCTCCGTCTCTTCCCACCTATGTGATAGCAAAACGCAACGGAAGTGCATCGCCACCACCTCCTTGATGCATCCCATTTGGAGATCCGAACGCTTTGTTATGGATGACAAGAGCTCCTTGTACTCTGGACTTGTTTTGAAGGAGTTTAACTGTACCGCTCGGTCGCACAAAAGACCCGTAGAGGTGTTGAGGAGACGAAGGGGTGCGCTGCTGAGTTCGATCCAAACCGCTCTTCGAATGGCGTCTTCTGCTTCGGATGGACAGACGTACTGCTGACGCAGATCTGCAGAACGATATAGGCATTTCGATTTCGAGACAATGCAGGAGTGTTCCATGGCTTACCTCGTATCTGAGCTTCGGGAGCCTCGTCAAACTTGGACAACATGATTGTGAAAGCCTCGATAGCGTCATCGTAACGTTGCGCGCCACGCAGCGCTGCGTGCGCCAACTTGTATCCAATGTGAGACGAGGGATTGAGTTCGGTGACCTATGCAGCGCCAAAGTGAGCATGGGCTACAAAACTTAATTGTCATCGTACCTTTTGCGCGTCGAAGAGCGCGTCTTCCCATAGCATTTTACTTAACTTTGCGTGGCTACGATTTGCAAAGACGACATAGGATGCAGAATCCAGGTCGATCGCCATCGAATATAGATCAATAGCCTGGTCGTAATCGCTTGCAGCCAAGGCAGCATCTCCGTTGGCAGCGCAGAGTGCGCTGCATTCTTGCTTGAAATCTGAGAGAAATGTGGGTGAGGATTGTAGCCTACGCAACATTACGGACTCTAGACTCGCCGTTAGACCAGTCAAAGTAGTCAGCATTTGTAGTTTCGTCGCTCAAAGCCATCATGTGTTGGTATGATTTCACGGCATCTTGGAGTTTACCCGCCCGAAAGAGTGCATCACACCGTTTCTGGCGTGCCTTTTGCCACAAGGACTTCAGGTCCCAGCCAAAGAGCTAGACAAGAGATCCAGTTATGAAAAGCGTCATATATGCATCATCTCAACGCACCACAACCAAATCCCCATATATTTCAAGAATGTTCGATTTCGATGATGAATCGCGGCAGTCAAGAGCGGCAGTGAGATGGTCAGCGGCTTCATCGTGACGTGCGCCATCCATGGCTTGCATTCCGAGTTGAATCCGTAGATATGCCTAATGTGCGAATTGTAAAGAGTGTTGATGACCGAGCATGGATGATACTTACTTGCACGACACGACACGCGAGAGTATCGCCATTCGGACAACCGGCAGCGAGCTCTTTGAGGAGCAGGTTTGCCTCGTCATGTTGATCTGCATTGAAGAGCGCGATGGCCTGAAATACGCGAGAAGAGAAGAGTATGCGAGGCAAATGTAACATACCATACCTTGATCAATAGCAGAAAATGAGTGATTTCTGAATCCTGGTCCGTGTACATGGATGCAACATCAAATGCTGCCCTCGCATCCAGGACGCGGCCTTTTCCACAGAGAGCAATACCCTTGGAGATATAGCCCGTCAATGAGGGCTGAACCCTGATGGACTATGTCACCGTCGAGTTAGCCCTGTATGAGGCAGCGATCATTCTCACCTCAATTGCGTCCAGAAGGGCGCGGTCCCAGTCGTGTTTTCGCGCCATGACGAATGACCGATGGGCGTAGAATGTATGGTTGTTCGGATTGGTGTTGATATCTTGAGTGAGTAGTTCTTCGGCGGTAGATAAGTCTCCATTTACACATGCAAGACGGGCGCTCGTGATGGCTAGGATCTGCACGAGACATGCTCGAATTGTGGTATATACGAGTCAAGGACGGAAACATGCCTTTGAGCGATGGGCGTGGGGAGTGTGGTTGTTCGCATCGGTGTTCATATCTTGCGTGAGTTGTTCTTCGTTAGTAGATAAGTCTCCATCTATGCATGCATCGCGGACTGTTGTAGTGGCGATAGTCTGCAAGAAGCATACTCGATTTGTGGTATATGAGTCAGAGACGGAAACATACCTTTGGATGTATACCCTGAGGTACTGTCCACTCCGAGATGTTACATTCACCTCCGCTGAAGATGTGATTGCCGTCCACGGAGAAAGTGATGCATTCCGTGAGGGATGAGTGTCCGAAGATGGCAACGGTTTGTCGATCTGATAGGCGCCAGAGATGAATATGGCGGTCACCAGATGCGGATGCGACGAGTGTGCCAGCAGGATGAATGGCAATAGCATTGATATTATGAGAGTGGCCCGTCCAGGGATCCCCGACCTGCTCCCAGGTTTTTGTATCCCATCCACGTATGGTAGGATCAAGATGATTGCCGCCTGTGAGAAGGCATGTACCATCGAGCGTCCACGCGAGTGACCAATTGAATGTGTGAGCCTTGAATGATGTGACACGTTTCCTGGTGCCTGAATTGTAAATTTTGATATGGCTGTTTGTTGCGATGGCAAGAAGTTCTCCAGACGGTGAATACCGTACGCAAACGACGCATGCACACTCGATTGGGTCTCCTTGCAGCTGCCAGGTTTTGGTATTCCACAGTTTCATCATTTTGTTGTAAAATGCATTAGTGGCCAGTACTGTTCCATCGGGAGAAAATTCTAGCGAGTAGATCGAATTGGAGTGTGCTTCGATTTTGGTGAGTGATTCGCCAGTTTCTCCGTGCCAGACGATGACCTCTCCGCTCCAATCACCGCTTGCTATCAATTGTCCATCTCGTGATACCGCCAATCTCGTCACCCCATTGCGATGCCCTTCCATCTTCTTCAACACAACACCTGTCTTCAAGTCCCACAGACGAAGCGTCATGTCGTTCGAGCCCGTAACCATTCGCCGTTTATCGGGGAAAACTGCGATTGCATATACGCTTCCTTCATGGCTTCGGAACTCTCGCAGGGGCGTGATGGTTGTAATCAGCTCCGACATTTTAATGGATTTGGATGATATTGAATACGGTCGAGGTCAAACTTTGGAGAGACTGTGTCTTTCTCTAAGCTGCCGAGGGTGTATGGTGCGTACTTCACAGCTTGCCTCATTTCAATAGACGCCCAGGACACTTAAGGCTGTTCGTGCCCACGCCTCTATCGCCGTGATGCACCCTATTGTCATACCCGCTGTCCTCGACAGTATGCACATCTGCGGTGCATACATGCGTCCTTGTCTTCAAAGCTTCCTGAATGTACTCCCATCGAGCAGTGCGTGCTTTCCAGCGCTCGAATCTGACTGTCTATCCTGCATGAATACCGTTGTTTGTTGTATCTAGCAGCTACTCCAGCTCATCACTCCTTCGAACGCGTGTATATAGCTTACTGCAATATCGCTTCTTCATCCAATAGACTCTAAAGATCCCTGTGTGCACGATGATGCAACCAAATCTCGTGGTACAGCCTCGGAATATCCTCACCATCGCCACACTGCCAACCGCCGCGTCTCACTGCGATGCCCCTCCATCTTCTTCAACACAATACCTGTCTTCCAGTCCCACAACCGAAGCGTCTTGTCATACGAGCCTGTCACTATATGTCGTCTATCGGGAAAACCTGCGACTGCGGTTACACCGCTCTCATAATCTTCAGGAACTCAACGGAGTGCGGCGCGTGACTCGACATCTTACTGGATGCTGATGATGTGGAGCACGGTCGAGGTACTCTTTTGAAGCATTGCGGGTGTCGAAATTTAGGCTGCAGATGCATCATGATGTATTATGCTGCTTCAACCTGTTGACTTGCCTCATGTATCCATAGACACTCTGAACCTCATCCACTTCCACCTCTCAGATGAATATGATTCCACCATACGGGAGTCATAGTGGATGCCATTGACTTGGAAGTAGGTCGGTGATATCATTCACTTCATAGCCATAGATTTATGCTGGTCGGTTCCGTATCTCACAACGTCTCACGAGGCGGCTCTCAGATCGGCGAACGTCGTCCTCCTTCCGATTAAGGTCACCTTCGTTGTATAGACGGAATTGGCAGGTAGAATTCAAGGGTATTAATCTCAAGCATGCAACGGCCGATTGCGATAAGCTGGAGAGCGACTCTTAATTAGCCCTGGTGTGGTGCCGAAGACTACGTACTAAATTAAACGTCAAAGAATGGCTGTGAGTTCAAGTTATTAGCCTTGTCATCCCGAGCCCTTCATGCAACCACTGGCAGGTTAGTAGTGATTAGGACTCTCACATCTATATGACTGTGTGCCATATGGACTGGCGAAATTGCGAAGACGTCGAAAGACTATTGTTGTTATTCCCTGTCCGAAAATTGCAGACATGCATGCGCCCTGGCCGCGACTGTTCGATGTCGATACAGAGAAGTTTCGTTGTCCGATAAATAATGTTTGATAGTCTGCAACATAAGTAATATATACGTACCTGGCACCGAAGATAATGGTGTATTACTGTAGCGACTATGTCCTGGCGCACAAAAACTGTAAATTAATCCACATGATAGATCGTCCATCCGCCCGTGCCTCTAATAGACTATCGTATGATAGACGAAACTTGTTCAGACTCCAAACCTGCATCTCAGGACCCCAGACACCGGTTGCTCATAGGAGTTCGAACTCGGCACTTGGCTAATGCACGCCTCTTGGACGAATGAGTCGTAAGCGTCATTACCAGAATCTGTTACTATCCGGGAGTAAACCCCGTGCCATACGCAGCATCACAACGTTCGAGGTCAAGCTCGACCACTGTAACGAGACACTCGTCAGTCTTGCACCAGCAACTAAGCACCAGCAGCTCTTACCCCATTTCCAATCAACACTTCAGATCTTTGAGCCACAAACATGTCCAACGCCTGCACCACAAATTTCTGCTCCCATGTGATGTCGAGATCGCGGCTGCTCTTAATCTGGTCCCAATTCCCAGAGCTCTCCAAGGCTCCCTTCAGCTCCTGAACCCAAGCGGTAGCGCCATTGGTCATGATATAGATATGCGTCAGCGGCTTTTCCGATTCGACGCGCACTTGTGTGACTTTCTGGACGATTTGTTCGATTGTGGGAAAGCACCGCTGCATATACATCTGCATGTTCTTCTCTGATGTCTCGCCCCATCCGCCATCAGTAGGCCTGTCGAACTTGTCGGAGAACTCGGGGAACATATTGAATGCATTCCAATTTGACGACCATTTGCCCAGGTGGATGCAGTGGTCTTGGAAGTCACCCCTTCGCACGTGCAGCGCTAAGAGGCCAGGTATCGGGTTCGTGTAGTTTTCCGCAGTAGCCAAACCAGTGAGCCCTTCAAAAAGAGAAGATCTTGCATTCGGCACAAAGATGCGGCGATTTCGTTTGTATGCATCATGTATTAAAGGCGACCACTCCCAGTGCGTCGCTACTGGGGAATTCTTGAGGTATTCCCATATGGACAGCATCCTCTTGTGTCCAAATATCCTACGCGACGTCTGTCGTCTTCCATTGATCATCCAAAGAGGATGAATATGACTCACCAGTATTCAAAGATTGCATTATTACCTGATTCGATTTCTACACACGGGTCCTCGATCGACTTAAATTTTTCGAGCCACTTTTCGAATATATAGGAAGCTGGCACGTCTTCATCGAATCGCATACGATCATCGTTCACATCCCCCACCTGAAGGAGTGTCGGATTGGGGCAAACTTTGTTGAAGAAAGTCTTAGAAACCGCACGAGGAGTGGTATCGCCAGGCGGCATTTGACCACCCACCATTACACCTAGAACAATCGGAGTTAATGGGGCGTATACGCGGAGATCGACTATGTTGTACTTGCCGCTCAATAGTGCTGTCAAAGGAATGCGAGAGGGAATTAAATGACCATTATAATCCGTAAAGAGCGAACCATCCGGATTCCAGATGTAGTCATCAAAGACAAAACTAGACGTCATCGAAAAACAAGATTAGGAATGTGGGAACCGAGTAAAGGAACACATGAAGGAATAGGGACTGACGAGCGTCCTGTGCTATGTGCAAGTAGTCCATTCATGACGTAGTCTTGCATAACATTTCCCCATCCTGAACCTATGCACGATCAATGCATGATGGATCAAATGAAAGGAAGGATGACCCACTATGTGCATGATTTGCTGACCAGAGATATTTCACATCTTTCCTCGTTTCGTACTCCTTGTAATGCTCCAATTTTTGCTCCCGCCCTCGATAGTCCTCGTATAATGGCGGTAGGTGGTCGGTAAAATAGTTTCGTACGGCTTCACGGTGGTAAAGTATTCCAGGGAGGACAAAACACAATATAACGGCGAGGAAGAAAAACCGTGTACCACGCTTGGTCAGACCATAGGATGGCATGGGGATGGAGGGAAAAGTGCTTGAGGATGGGAAGCGAGAGGGGTACCGGCAGGGGTTGGTGCGCTGGACCGTCTGGAGCAACTAAACGAAAAGTAAGAGAATATGGGTATAGTGGAAAAAATGGTAGGGAAAGAACGTAAGTGATACTTTAAGGAAGGCTTAAATCAGAACACCGGAACACGCTGCGCATCATGTGGTCATCTTGATCGTTTCATGTTTGCTGCGGTGCCGTAAGATTGCAACCCGGACTCTGATGGGCCCAGCTCGATTTGAATTGGTTCATAGGCCTTGGAGATAACGAGCCTGCTGTAGCATTGCATGCCGTTTGATGGACTTTGGACACTGAAGAGAACGAGTCGAGTACGATGATCGGTTTCCAGAATCAAGATCGGCAAATCGGCATAACGTGAAGCGCGAGTTTCCGACGGTTCGAAGGTTGGATGAGAAAACTGGTTATCTTTATCGTAAAGCTTTCCCAACAAACACAAGCCGTCATGGGACGAGCGCAGTCCAAGCTGTGCTTCCAAATACTGAAAACTACGGCGCAGTGGCAATGACCATAATTCTAATAATACAGCATGAGACCATACTTAATATGTCACATAGAGGCATACTACCAGTGAGAAAACGTGTCAGTAAGTTACAAGTAAGTAATAAGTATGTATCGGAAAGTTCCATCATGATCGTGCGCCCATCCGTCTCTCCAGGTACTGTGCTCTGGCCCGCTCCATAGACTCTCTAAGCTCTGGACTCTCCCAGGCACTCGTATCCTCCCTGAAGCTGCTTGTAATAGTGGCGCAGGCGTCAATATCCATCGAGGATTCGCGAGCAATCCGACGAGGTGTACTAGGCACTGATAACCTCGAAAAATCTTGGCGATCAGGGGAAAGGTGTATAGCTTCGCCGATAAATTTGCGCTTCCTAGATGCCGAGTTCGGAGAGGATGGCAAAGTGAAGACCGAGGACGGAAGCTGATTGTCACGGAGTCGATGTGTCCGGCGGAAGGAACTACCCCTGGAAATAGATGTGACAGGTTGCTCTTCCTCCCAGTCACCCGACCCATCATCTACCTCATCCTCCTTCGCTTCACTCATCACCACAACCTCCGTATTCAAAGCTCTGTGTCCTTCTTGTATCAGCTTAGATAGTTTGTCGCCGATCCAGTCCATTTCGTCGGCTTCAGGTTCTTCTTCTTCGTCTTGGTTTACGTGCACGAAATCAAATTCTTGGGGTGGATGACCCATGAGGGCAGGAGAGACGCTACGCGATGGAGTAACTGGTCGGCCACGAGTTCGGATCCTGCGACTTCGTGTGCCAGAGCGACGAACAGAGGAAGGTGTTGGGCGAGACTTGCGCGATTTCGGAGTAGGAGGGGTAACTTGAATATCTTTGTACTGATAGCATATCAATGATGAGACAACGACACATGCCAAACTGTACATACTTGTTCGGGGACCCAGTCACCCGGGTGGTATGGAGGTGGTTGTATTCTTTCTTGTTCCTTGCCTCGGTCCCGCCAGCTGCGCTCAACAGCGATAAGTAACATCAACATCGAACTAGAAATCAGCACTCACAGGCGATATACAGTGAGACCAACAGCAGTCCCGATCAGAGCAGCGCTCAACGCTGTAGACACGATCGAACCAGCGAGAGTGCGACGCCGCTTGGCGGGTGGTAATTCTACATTTATTTCAATAACGATATCGAAAAGCATGAATGAAAGTGGGTTGAAAGATGCAAGTAAAGAAGGAAGAGACACGATTCCCAAATAAAAAACCATAGCCGGCGCATGGACAACGCGTGGGTCGCGAAGCACTCGGACACATGGCATCCGCATGGGCTATCGCTTGCGAAACATGTAATACTACATCACGGATGATCGAGACACACCTGTAAACACGTCTTCAACAAATTCCTGTTCAGGCTCTTCATGCGCCATATCTCTGTACTTGGCGGGTGTGTCGAGATAACCGCGAGTAGATGCGGCGCTTGTGGCGGCTTGGCTGGGTTCAGGGATAGAAGGGACCCAACCGCGCTTACGGTTTAGTGGTACAAATGGTGATAGTGATAGTGAGGGCGATGGTGATGCGCGGCGGGGAGGAGGCAAGGCGCGATTAATACGTCGAGAGATAGGATCAAGCAGTGCATCTTTCTTGTCATTCCGGGACGGTTTGACTGCCGGTGGAGTGGTAAACGGATTGTGAAGACCCGGTACGCGAAAACTGAATGTAAATGGGAAAGGCATGGCAATTCGTAACACAGATCATAAACCAGACAGCAGATAAGTACAAGAGAAAGGAAAGGAGCAGTATGTCCTCGCACGTAAGTATACGTAGAATCAAAACTGCGAGAGCTACGATTGTTCATTCCATAATCCACCAACCACCACGCCTGGGAACAATTGACAAACTTGCCTTTTTTTACCATCATGAAAACCCCTATCAGTCCCACAATTGTGATTGTTTCCAAGTCGTACTGCGCAGTCTGCCAGGTAAAACTTCTTCTGGTCTTCACATCACCCCCTCATCCCGAGATTAAATTCCATCGAAAATCGAAAAATGAAGCGGAGAGTACATGTCCGAGGTGTCCATAAAATGAAAATTGCAATATACACTTTTGCCTGAGATCAAACACGATGCAAGAGGAAAGAACGTAGTGCTTGACTGCCGTTACAGCACATTCAGTCTTGGATGCATGCGATACACGTTTCAAAGAATTGATTATAGCGTAGCTATTTCGTTGAAGGTCCTAAGTTGTAGGTATCTGGTCACTCACTGAAATGGTAGACATGTCACGAAGGTTCACGATGACTTGGATGCGGTCGTAAAAGGGCTTACGCAGTAGGCATACTATATAAAACATAGAATCACGATACGGCGACCTCAACAAACCACTCACAACGCCAGTCATTTGTTGCGAATACACCCTGGCTGGATTAGCACAAGAACTAGGATCTACACATAAGTTGACAGTGAGATTCATGCCAATAACACGACATACCAATATCAGTTACAGCGTCAGGAAAAATACGAATAGGATATTGGCACTTGGCACTTGTTGTTTGATGAATACAGCTTACACGTAATGGCATCATACGATGGGAGACATCGTTCCTATTCTCCATATCAATTGTGTAGGCACAAACGGACATAATCTGACATGGCCGATACGACTGCAAACAGATCTGCAGAAATCACATGCCAAGGTGGATGAAGAGCTCAGTTTAAACAGACAAATCGACGCACAATAATGATATACTAGCCTGCGGTCACATCAACCATGCGCAGCAGCACCCACAGCTGTATACGACTCATTAGAGCTGGCAGACGTCCCTATCATCAGCGCTCTCTATGACTCGGCTGTTGTATAGACCCGTACGGCTGTGGTGGATGCTAAGATGCGCCCTGTATTGATTCGTCTTCGTGACCTCCGTCCTGGGTTAGATGAGACTGTTGTGAAGGCACTCGTCCATACTCTTGATATGGAGAGGTTCAAGAGCTGGGGTCAGGTGTAAGAGGGCGACAGAGACGTGATGTTTGCGGGTGGTAATGCGGAGGGGTCGACAAGCGAAATAAAACTCATTTTCTCCACCCTTGGAGAAGACGCACCAGTCAAACGTTTAAGCTATGCAAAATTTGACGTAAGGATATCACTAGCAATGCATTTATTCCTCGTCAAAACCTAGCGCGATCACAACTGTACGAGTGGGTTTCAAGTGATCCTCCAGCACCCCCCTACTGAATGGCCCAAGAACTGGGTTGCAAGAATGCTTGTCGCAATATAACTAGAACAGAGCGGCGCTAGAAGAAAAGCGCTCCTCCGTGACAGAGTTTGAGATGCCAGAGGAAAGAACTTCGGTTGCATCCGGTGCACAAACAGGTCTTGAGAATCGGCGGGATGAAGGGGTGATATTGTAATAAGCTATGTGCATGAATTCGAAGGAGTGGCATGGCGATGGCTGGAGTAGCTGCTCGACACGAAAAACAACGATGTTCATACGCGAAAGATAGTCAGGTTCGAGCGCTGAGAAGCACCGACTGCTCGATTGGATGCGACGGCATACATTCTGGAAGCATTGAAGATAAGAGGGGGACGCATGTACGCACTGCAGAGGTGCTGGGAGGGCGTACTGTCGAGGACAGCGGGTATGACAATAGGATGCATTACGGTGGTGGAGGCGTGGACGCGAACAGCCTTAAGCGTCCTGGGCGTCTATTGAAACGAGGCAGTTGACACGGTGAAGCACCATACAACACATAATACACGTACCTCTGCAGCTTAGAGAAAGACACAATTCTTTCAAGTCCACCTCGACCGTGCTCAACACCTTCAACCTCCAGTAAAATGTCGGAGCTCATTCCAATCACTACACCCCTACGAGAGTTCAAACTTGAAGGTCATGAAGGACGCGTAATGGCAGTCGCATTTTCCCCCGATAAACAACGGATGATTATGGGCTCAGGCAACACACTCCATATTTGGGACTTGAAAACATGTCTTATGTTGAAGGAGATGAAGGGGCATCGCAGTCAGGTGTTGAAATTGGCAGTATCACGGGATGGGCGATTGATAGCAAGCGGTGATGCTGGGGGAGATTTTATTGTCTGGCAAGGAGAAACTGGGGAATCCCTCACCCAGCCCATCAATGAAAGTCATGAGTGTATCTCCTCGCTGGATTTTTCTCCTGATGGGACAGTGCTGGCCATTAATTCATATTGCATGACAACGAGCCTGTGGAACACCAGAACCTGGCAGCTGCAAGGAAATCCAATCAACTATGGTAGTGATGCCCTCTGCGTTCGATATTCGTCCTCTGGAGAACTTCTTGCCATCACAACAGACAACAATATCGAAATTTACAATTTAGGCACGAGGAAATTCGTCGCATCCTTCAAGGCTCACACATCATTGAACTCGTCACTCGCGTGGACGCCCGATGATACACGCCTTCTCACAGGCGGCAATCATCTTGATCCTACCATACGCGAATGGGATACAAC